CTGGGCTGGGTGCAGCTTTTCCTCGCCTCTTAGTTTTGTCTGGTACAAGGTAACAGCTGTATTGCCGTGGGCGATTGTTAAACCGGGCCCCTGTACGGTCGGTAAACCGCAAACCTGTGAAACCCTCGCTTACCCGGTAAATTACAGCTTTTAAGTCCAGTGTTTTTTGGATTTGTTGTGTTTTGTGTGGGTTTTGTGTTTGGGTTTTTTTTGTTTTGTTTTGGTTTTTTTTTTTTTTAAACTAGGTGGTATGTATCACATTTTTAATTTGGAATAACTTGAAAATTGTATCTAGCCGAATTTTAAATGTAGTATCCTACCACTTTCAACTAAAAAAAAAAAAAAAAGTACGAATCACAGGAAGAAACTTGTCCTTTGACAGTTCTTTTCCCTGGAGCTGGTCCCTGAACTGGAGAGGAGCCCGCTGCCACCCATCGAGAAGTCGATACAGTCTCGATGAAGTAAAAAACGCCGACGGTGCTGCCAGTCCTTCCTCCTCTTTCTCCTCCCTCCCCATCTCCTCCCTCCTCCTCCTCTCCCTCCGCCCCGCTGCCTCCGGCGGTCACCGGGCGGGCTCGGCGGCGGCGCCGGCGGGGGGGCGCTCTAGAAGTAGGACGGGTAGCGGGTGTTTGGCTTGAGGCTAAATTCCATCTTTTGTTGATATTCTGAGTTTACCATTTGTTTAGGGAAAAAAACCCACAAACCCAGCCAAAAATGATCATCGGGTTTCATACGCAGGAGTCCATAATCAGAGATGTGCAGTCTTGTTAAGGGCTGTGGCAGAAATCCAGTTACATCATCAGGAGCACATTACACACAGCAGGTGTAATTTAGCTCTGAGGTTAAGTTTTGAGTCCTGTAAAGGTACCATTATCTGTTCTCTATCCTGGCAATAAAACCAGAAATCTTTTACTAGAAAGAAGCTTTTGAGTATATAAGTCAAGTAATAGGAAATACATCATATACAGGCAAACATAAATGTAAAAAGCAATATGGTAGTGATGGGCAATAAAGAATAAACTCTATGCTGCATTTGGTGTTTTGGACATAAATTTAAAAAAAAAAATTAAGAGATTAAAATACTAAAATGCATTTAAAAATTAGACTTGGCTTTCAGAAGAGAAACATGTCAAGGATCACTTTAGACATGGAACTAAAGTTAGTGATGCCAGCTATTGGCATAGTTACTCATATAAGTCTGTGGATGTGTTTTAACTGTACTTGTCATTTATCTTGCTAGCTAATGGAAATGGAGGAAAATTTACAGAAAAAAGGACTAAATGTAACTGCAAAGTGGTTGGGAAAGGTGGGTAGCTGAGTCACCTCCCTGTCTTCCGACCTGGAGAGCACATAGGCCACAAGCTGATGCACTTGCTGTATTTATCTGTACTGAGTAGTGCTCTGCATGTAATTTGGAAATTGATATTTTATGCTTGAAAGATTAAAGTAGGATTTGTAGGAATGCTTTTGCTTAAAAAAGTGAAGTCTTCATTGCAGAATCCATGCCAAATATCATATTTCTGTAACAGAGAGAAATGACATAATTTTAATGACCAAAGATTGCTTTCCAAAGCCACATATATTATTTAAAATGAGGTATAGTTAGGGATTGTATAATGATAGTATTTAAAGATCTACATGAAGGAAGGGCAATTACTATGGCAAATGTTACACCTTAGTAAAAAGGAAATTTTTTACTCTTGACACTGCTGAAAAATTGCTATTTTGTTACACAGGGACTACATCATACAATATACACAAAAAGAATGAAAGTGAGCTTGCATAGGTACAGTTTTTTTAATGAGTGAACATACAAATTCATAATGTTAACATTATTTAAATTAGTGGATTTGGTTTTACAAACAATGCTGAATACTTGATAACAAACCCAAACAATCAATAGCTTCAACTTGCTCATTATTAATGTAGAGATTAATTCCTACCTCCAGAAAAAAATACACAAGCCTCTCTACATTCCTCTTCACTCTCAAAGCGGTTTGCATTTCCATCGCAGCCACCATACCAAAACTGAGCACAAGCATTGGCTTGTTTATCATAATACCATTTTATGATATAAACACGGCATGACCCTTGATCCAGCCTTAACTTGCATCGGGGGTCCAGGATAATTTCTAAAATAAAGAAAAAAAGGAATAGAAACAATTCAGTTTGTCAAAGTCAAATATATTGCATAGAATTTAACCGTGATTTTATATTTTCTGCTAATGTTATAGAGCAGTTTAAGATTCACTTTTACTTCTGAAGATGTTAGCATTGAAGGCAAGCTAAAACTGCATCTTAGTAGGTCAAGTAAACTGTTCCATTACTGGCATGGTTCTAGTAATGCCAGAAATAATAGTATTATGGCTGTACATACAAGAAAAGCAAACAATATGAATCTGATAATTTTGAAATCTTAAGTTGTGAAATCTAATTATCAGCAACCAGTTTTGTGAGCAACCCAAAACTGTAAGCCAAAGAGCTGTAAACTAGTTGTATCTGCTATTTTTGAACCACAAATATGACCATCATCCATCCACAGTACATTGCTTCAGTTGATTAGTTCTCTTTGTGGTGTGGGGAAAGAGGCATTAGAATAGTGAGAAGAATATAAAACTTTTCTAAAACTTTAGTCTTTCTCTTGTAAGATGTTTGTGCTACTTATCTAATAAAATGATAGTAATTATGTACATACTGATTAAGTTGGAATGTAAAGCTTGTTGGCCTAATGCTTCCTACAGATATGCATTAGAGGACTGCCACATACTAATCTAGTCTCAATCAAAAATACCATGAGATAGAAAATACTTTTCCTTCAAGTTTAATGTTGTCACATTAATATTCTGTCTTTGGCAACTGGTATCTTGACACTTTTTTTAAAAAAAAAGTTATTACCAGAGTTAGAATAATAGTCATGCCCACGTTCCCAGGAAGCATGGGAATGTGTTTCTGTTGCTCTCTTCTGTTACTCCCATCATAATACACTATTACTGGAACTCAGAAGTGTGAATCCCCCAAATAATGAACAGAATACATTTGGACATTTCATAGGAAAAGAATCAATCCTTTGAACAGTCAGCTAATTACTATACTTTTATTTTTTTCCCTATTTCTCCTCTGAAGGAGTAATCTGCTTTTTCTGTCCAATTCTGAAATCATTATCTTGTCTTTAATGAAGCTTCCCATCTCCATAGACTGCCCCTTCTTGGCTGACAAATTACCTGCTCACTGGCCCACCTCAGCTAGCCCTATGTTCTTTTTTTGATGCCATTTATGAGCTCTGTCTCAGGTTATAGCTGACTATGCTTCTGCTCTAAGTGGAGCAGTGGGATTTGGAATTTGGCAAGACAAGAACTGGTGAACAGGCTGGACAGGAACTACAACTAGATCTGCTATAAAATCCTGAAGTGGATTCTCTTTCACAGCATGGGCTCATGAAATCTTCAGAGTGGAACAAAATTACTCTGATTTAAAGCTTTATGAAAAGTCAGTATCAGTATAAGAGGGAACAAAATGAAAAAGTAGTTATGATCTATAACCTGGTCTTGGTGTGAGTGCTGCAGTTGAAAGAGATGATGTCATCACTTCATCTGATGGTGATGGTTTAGACAGCAATAATGGTACCACAGCTGCAGGTGAAAAGAAACAGAATGAGACAGTAATTTTTGACCAGCCAAAAATGAAATAAAATGAATGATGATAAAAATACCTCTAGTGTCCACTGTTAGCAAGGATGACTGTTCCTCCTCCTCTTGTTCCTCTTCATGGGCTTCATATACTACCACAGGAGGTACTTTGGTCTGAAATAAGCATTTGATTTTCTTTGCTTTTCAGTTATTGTGAAGTGTCTCAGAATGAACAGGCCCTTCATCACTTAGAGTTTTTCTAATGATTTTCCTTCAAATTTACCCTAAATTCATGCTAAGAATCAGAATTTTAACCTCACCTGGTTGGTTTACCAGGAGGGTTGTCAATCCTAAACCTGGGATATATATTTTTTTAGTTGACCTTTACATAATTTTATTTATAAACTTAAAAATATAGACTACAATTGAGTTTAATTTCTATTCTTAGACTTAATTATTACAGTGTAATTGCATTTTTATAACATGTTTCACACTATGGCAAAAATATTACTGTATTAAACACATCAATTATAATAGTTGTAACAGTATCAGGAATAAATTATAGCCATTAGATAACTGCCTGCATGCAACATCAGAACATGGAACAACCAGCTCTGAGCATACCAAATTAAAGGATCCTGTGTTACAGTACCTGTCCTGTAGAAAAGTAGGGGGAAAGTAATGTATTATATCAAGCATCAGAGAAGGAGATATACATAAAACTTTTGCTCATTAAAGCCTGCTGAATTTTCATACCGGGGCTAATGGTTGAGGAAGATCGCCAAGACTCAGAGGACTTTCTACTGTAGATACTCCAGGTGTCTGTACTGCAAGTGATTGTCTATTAACGTTGTTGTTCTGAAGAATGTAATGTAAAGAACTTGAAGATACTGAATGGAAAGATGGTCCACTTATGCTTGCACCATTTCCATTACGGTTGTATATTAAGGTACCATATTCATCTTCACAGAACTGGTTGACTAATTTGGACTCCAGAGCTGTTTAAAAAAATTTAAAAACTCATCATACTGAGAAATTAAATGTATTTTTTGAATTTGGATTATTTATATACATAACTCACACGCAATTCAGTACTCCTTTGGATTATTTATATGCATCTAAGAAGATTATTTCAGGCTCTCTGGACTATGGCTTTTATTTGTCACAAGTTTGTTAGCCTGTAAGTCCTCTACATGGTACAAAATACAATGAGCTCACCTAAATGTGTTCATCTGAGGTTAGTAACAACTACCAGTTGGTAGTGGGAAAATAACTGCTTACCTTGCTCATGTGAATAACCCAATGAAAAGGGGTTATT